AACCTGGCAGCAAGACTCCTGAGTGATAAGGCAAATTATTGCTTTGGATAGGGACTGAATGTACTGCCATGACAGGCTTCAAAAACAAAACAAAACAAACCGAAAAAACACGCAACAAAACAAGCCAAAACAAAAATAGTCAGCTAAGCTTACAGCACCAGCCCCCCTGCTTGATTTGTTCTGGCAACAGGAACCCAAGTTCTTATCACATGCCAGAGAATAATGGTAAGTTTTGGCTTGCCCTGGTTTTAAACCGCAGCTGCTAAAAGGAAAGCCAACAAACAGGGAAAGTGTTTATAGTAAGCACAACCTTCTCGGTGTACAACTACATGTGTTTTCATACCTCAGCAATTAAGGGCTAGAACATGCAGTTGTTAAGAGGAGGGTGCAGCAAGGGTACATAAACCCACCCTTTATTTCAAGGAGACCATTACAGCATGTGATCGCTACAGCCCAAATATAAGGATCTTTGTGAACAAAAGGTTGATGTAAACAAATCCCTTTGAGAACTTGGCACATGTTAGAAAGCCAACACTGGTGTATCTGTGCCGACAGAGCTCCGTGCAGCTGTGACTGCAGCCACAAACAGGAATTAATGATCTTTGGCACACAAAGAGATGGCTAGCAGGTACCGGACAAGTCGGATTGCTTACTGAATGATGGTAAGTTTTGCTCCAGTGCTTCAGCTCTCAAAATCTGCACAAAGTTTTTCACAAAGTTTGTCTGCCATCCACACGCCTATTGCTGCCAACAGGGAAAGGTACCTGGCAGCACTCCTTCGATCAATAGTTCCACCTAGGGAACGTGCACAGAGCCTAACGACAGGGCAAACAGCAGGGTGCCCTCCTACAGAAGGATCCTCCTTGGAAACAGCACCAAGACTGCAAAATAACACAGCTCCAGCAAGTGATAGAGCAGTGGCATACAGCAAAGCCTATTTCAGTGCCCTTTCTGGGGCTAAAGATTTTGGATGGTGAAAGCAAAAGTCTGTAGACAGCAAGCATCTGTCACCTTTGAGCCAGCATCAGGAAAGAAACTTCAACTTAACATCAACATCTCCTGCCTTACATTTTGGTTGCAAGAAGCTTTTTCCCTCCGCCTGAAGGCTTTCCCATTTCTCTGCTGTTATAGGAAGTTTGGCATGAAAGGCTACGAACACTGCTTGTAAGAGGCCTTCCTACCTTTGTATCCACTTAAATCTTAATGGATCCTGTCCCTGAAGTAAAACACATGCCTTGAATAAGAAGTTCAAATGTAAGTTTAAACACCTCTAGGCACATCCAAAATAATTTCAATTACAACTGCTGTTATGCACGCCCCTTCTGAACCACAGCTCTGAGAAGATTATGTTTCTTGATAACAGGGGTGAAAAAAAAAAAAAAGGAAAAAAAAGAGCTCCAAACTGAGCTTCCCCCATCTGAAAGCCCACCCTAGCCTCATCTCATTGAGGGCCTGGTAAAGCTCCAGGAAGCTTTACCTGCCTACATGCTCGTCCCAAAGCTGCTATCTCCCCTAACTTCTGAGGTTTGGGGTATGGCTTGTGGCTTTCAAATTGATTAAAGATAAGGTTTTTGGTTCCCAGGGTCCGGAAGTTTGATACAACAGTCTGCACACTGCATACAGACTCTCATCCCTCTTTCAGAGGACCGAACTCATCCCTCCTCGGCCTTCTTTTCTTTCTTTCTTCAGCGTTTTGGGGTTTGCTCGAAGTCTGTGCTACAGGTATGTTTTTCTGCTACTACATAATTAGCAGTTTGCCCTTGGCACACAGCTATAACAATGAGGTAATTCTCAAGAGAACACATACATTGTGTACTCGTGGGGATTACGGGTACGTATAGTTACTCCACCTATTTTGGTCAGAAGAATAACATATCAACTTCAAAATACCATTTTCTTAAGATCACCAGAAAGAGACAGATTTTATGCTCTGCAATATGTCTTGACTACAGCTGATATTTCACACCTTCAAAAAATTTCTGCAATGAGGGAGATCATACCTGTAAAAAGGCATAACATGTCTTTCAATACTAAAAAAGCAGTAAGCCATTTTATTAGTCACGATTGTAGCTGCTACTTAATAAGCATATCTTCGTTTTAAGGTCAGCTTTATAAAGACACATCCTGAGAGGTATTTTAAATAGTAACAAACAATACTTAACAATCAGAAGTCTCTTGTTTTCTCCCTGGTGACCTATTCTCTAATGTCAAATGAAAGTGACTTTAAATGACAGGCCTGTATTGTAAACTTTACTTTACAGCTACTACTGTGGGGCCTTACAGGTGTAGCGTGTGTGATTATTTCTTCACTGTCACACTTGTAAGTCTGCTCAAGGTGGAGTCCTGCATCTACTGTTCTGCTGTAGCCCTTCATCTTCTTCTAATCCGCCCCTATCATGGTATCTGGGCACGGAGAGGGAACAAGCCACAAGCGTTTTCATGAAACAGCAAAAGATTATCATTGCCAAGAACAACCTTTATTCTTTTCTAACAAAGATCATACGATAGCCGAGCAGATACAGTCGTTTCACTAAAACATATCTGATAATTGCATGTAATTACACAATGATAACGTTTATTTAAGAACTGCTAGTACCTCGTGACAGAAATCCCCCCAACAAGAACAGCAGCGTGTTTACAAAGCACTTTATAGCCCAGATCAGATGCCAGAGTCCTTCTGCTGAAAAAGGCAAAAACTCCTAATGTAGCCCTGCACCGAAATAATACCAGATAATACCTTGCTGTGAGCTTGGATCCCACAGGAATGGCACAAGGCTGCCAAAAGCATGTTTAAAACCACTCCTGATATATTACAGCACTACATTAATGCCAGAGAATCAGGGTTTCTGATTGTTGCACAGAAAGCTGTGCCCCAGGTCTGCTAGGGACCTCTCCCCCCTCTTCTTTTTAGGGGTGGTCATGAGCCTCCTCCTCTGCACCCTGTCCTGCTCTACAATCTGGTGTCCTGGAGCTGGACAGAAAACAGCAAGCACTACCTCATTCTTCAGCAGCAGCAGCAGATCTCTGACAGAAAAGTACTGGAAGCTAACAGCAGAGCAGACAAACTCAGCCCAATTAGGTAAATAGGCACACAAGTGTGATATGAGACAGAAAACTAGGGCGTTCCTCAACAAAGCGGGATTGCAAAAGAATTCATTTCTACAGCTTATTCATTTCCCAGATAAAATTAGAGATGCAGACTTCTTTCATCCTGAGGACTGAGCACGGAGACTGACTGCTTCTGCCTAATTACAAAGACATCTAATTTGGTGCTTAGTGTCCTGTACCAGTATCAGTCCAAACGTCCCATATTTCAGTGGTACTATTCTATCTAAGGAATAAGACCTCGACTGGAAAGTACCAATTCCTACAGCAAACGATTACCTCCTCTGGGGAACATTCAACTATAAGAATCAGAATTCTGGGGGATACTTCATGAAATACATCAGTCATACACCTTCCTTGACATGCGACTTAGCAGTCTTTTGTTTCAACTCTCCACTATTTCATTTCCCTTCACACCTAACAAGTAGAGGAGTACTGACCAGCAGGGGCATGTTCTCTGCCGAACTCCAGCATACCCATGCATGAGCCCATAACTTCTAACCCATCCCTACTTGCACGGCCCTGTCTAGCTGGTAGAATGGTATTGCTTTCTCAGTTTTGCCAGCTGACCTGCTTTAGTAACTGCTTCCTAACTCAATCAGGAGATGGACTAATAAAGACGTAGATTCATAGAATCGTAGATTCATAGGACAGATTAGTTGGAAATGTAAACTAACCTGATGTCTTCTGAATGTAGGATTTTTGAGGGTGGGATTAGAGACAGTAAAGCACAAAGCTGACACAGCTAGAAACTAAAAAGGTTGTGCATCTGCAAGGGCTGGAAACCAGATTTAACATCTGTGCTTCACTACCATTATTATGAATCAAAATCTGGTGTTGGTGCATAATTTGCTAACTCGGTTCATGAGCTGACTGCCGTCTGTCTGTGCGAGTGCTGAGAATAGCACCCCGTCTCCTGCTTACTCAGTGAAGTCACTCAGTTACGTGTCTGGCAGCATTGCCCCTGCTTTGTGTTCTGCATCGGTATGCAGAGACACTGTGGTGTCATCTTTCATGACATGTAAATAGCACCACTTCCCACATTAGGCCAACCTCATATTTCAGTAGCATAAAGGAATTTCCCACAGTAACTTGAATCCTTCATGTTCTGCACTAGACACAAGAGAAAAGGGAATGAGATACAATTCAATAACCTGAGAACATGGAAAAGATACTGGTTCAGTCTGATGGTCAGTGAAGAGTTTTACAAGCAGCTAAATTGCCCATTACCTGCTCACCTCACTGGCAAAGTGCCATCAATCAAAACTACAGGTATACTCATGAAAAATAGACAGAAAATAGACAGACGCTTAAAGATACTTTTAGACAGATAATCTTAAAGATACTCTATAGATATTCTTTTCTTTCTTGTCTGAACAATCCTAGTACTATCACCATTCTTGTCAGAAAGATAAATCCCCTCTAAAGCCCCTTCCCTTTTTGGGCTGAGAATGGGAATAAACTCAGCTACCTGTTACAACTTAAACTGGGCAGATCAAACACACTTAAAAACTGACAGGAGACACCTACATTTTGGTTGCATCTTGTGCTCAGTATCATTTCTAGTGCCTGACTTCAGATCGGTCCTGTCCATCTGCACTCCTCTACCAAGCAAGCCATCTTCATATGTACGCAAAGTTACATTTGAATGACAAACTAAAGCACGCATCAGGTTTTGTAAGGCACCTGTTGGAATGTGTGGCTTCAACAGGGATAAGCATGTTATTTTGCCTTGCACCACAGCATGCTGATATTGTGAGCTTCAATGGAAAAAACAAACAAACAAACAAACAAAAAAAACACAAAAAAAACACATGTTCAAAATGCTCAGAGCTGGAGGTGCAGGTACAGAACAAATAAGGAAACAAATACGAAGACAAAAAAGGAGCACTAACCTGAAGAAAAATGCACCACTGTTAATGAAGGAGATTTCATCTGTTAAATCCATCTCCTTCAAACATGAACTACTGTCTGCTAATCGGAGGCTGACCTGAGGTGTTCCATCTGACAGGTCTGGTTGTGGCACTAGGCATGTTCGGCTGGATCCTTCCCTTGTGGACTTTGTCACCTACAAAAGTAAAGAAAGAGAAAATTGAAACATGAAAGGAAGGAAAAGCAGAGCAGCCTCTTCAAATAATCTCTGACAGAAAGACATTCCCTACCAGTGTGCAAACAGCAAACAATATGATAAAGTACAAACTAATGATACAAAATGCATATAAATCAAACAACTTGCTTGTTTAAAGGCTATTTAAAGAAGAATAAACATATGCCTATTGAAAGAAGAAGGGTGGCAGTGAAATTAACGAAAGGAAGATAAGGAAAATAAATGGAGAATTATTTCCTGTATCACAGAAGGCAAACTAAAAAAAACACAAACTCCTTGAATCTTTATCTCTTGATGTGAACTAAAGTAACAGATAGTAAAAGAAATTGAAGACCTCTTCCCAACAACCCTTTCATTTTGAAAAGGAAGTTTATGTCAATACACGCTCTGGAGGAAAATTTCTCGGGACATGGACTTTCCGTGTTGGTGTTCTCTGATGAGGCAACCAGGACATGGAGTTGGAATCTGGGCTTGCTACATACAAGATGAAGTTTCCAAGCATCACTGAGCCCATATACAGGGTGGCCAAAGTTCTTGCTTTGGCTCCTCAGCAGAAGTGTGCAAAACCAAAGAACAAATAGTGCTGTGTCAGACCATTTTCTGGTATCAGCAGCAGATAATGAGTGCTTAGGGGAGTAAGAGCAAATTCAAAGGTTTGCCCCTAATGCATTGTCCCAGCTTTTGGCACTTTGTGGTTTGGGGATTTCTTTGACTTAGAAGTTGAACCTTGATCACTGTGTTTAACAGTGAACATTGGACCTATCCTTTGTGATCGCATTAAATTCCTTAATGTCCACTTCTGTCTTTAGCTTTTGTAGGATTCTATGGCTGGGAGTTTCAAAACACCTTTACATATTGATTAACTTTTAAAAAAAGAGTACTTCCATGTCAGATAAGGTGACATATAATCTTTCCTTAGTTTTTGAACTGTGAGAATTGGCAAATACTGTTCCTTACCCACCTTCCCCATTCCATTTTTGACTTAACTCCTCCCCCCCACTACTCCATTAACTCCATTAGTAGTCTAATCAGACTGAAAAATCCCAGTTCATATAGTCTTTCATTTTAAAGAAGTCATTCTGCTGCCTTTGATCCTTTTTGCTGTCTTCCTCTACACCTTTTTACCTTCTGCTAAATCCTTTTTGAAGAGGTAGACAGAACTGCATGCAGAATTACATTTATATAAGTAAATCTCAGATTTAGTGATGGCTTCTTATTAAAATGCAGCTTTTTGTTTGCTTTCATGATTGCTAATTGAGCTGAAAACATTGTGAAGTTTCTATAGCACCAAGATCTCTTTTATAAAAATAATAACTAATTCAGAGCTCATTGGTATATACATTTACACAATTTTTGTGGTTTTGTCTAGTGATGGAAATTCACATAGTATTTTTTCAGCCAACATGGAGTATCTTAAAAGCCTTCTGTAAGCCCCTGTAACCAGTTTTTCCTGCTTTGAATAATTTTCTTTTATCAGCACATTCAGCCTCTTCATGCGTCACTATTAAAAACGTTGAATAGTATAAATTCCAGCAAAGATCCTTGAGAGACTTCACAGCCAACCTCTCTCCACTGATAAGGAGACCATTTATTTTTATTGCTTTCTAATTATTAATCCATACTTTTCTTCTAATCACACGTGAGCTTTGCTTCTTTCAATGCCTTTGATAATCTTATCAAAACCTTTGGAAACTCAAGTGAACTGAATTGGCTTTATTTACAAACACACTTACTGGCTCCTTTGTCACACAATATTTTTCTTGAAATGAGTCGTGCTTGTGTCTCCCAATGACTCTAATTATCCATTTGTTTATTAATTATGCTGCCTGCTACAGTTTCTACAAGTCTCCTGGACTGTACATCAGGCTTTCTGGATCTCTCCTGAACCCTTACCTTTTTAAAACTATTTTTACTATTACTTCCTATTTTTAAAATTATTCTCGTTTTCACCTTCTGTTTTGGAATGCTCCGTTTTGCTCACAGTTACTTCCACATACTTTGTGTGTGTTGAAAAGTTTCATGGGACAGAAAGCTGTTTGTTCTTTAGCTCTGAAAAGATTGAACTGAAAAACATGATGTATATCAAAGGTAATGGGAAACCAGACAGATATGTAGAGAGCTGCTCATGGCAAGATCCTGCCTTCACTGACATCAATGGGCCTTTTGCCCGATGTCAATACCTCACCTTTGGACTATCCCTCTTTTCCAGCAATACTCTGCTGCCATGCTGCCTGAAGTGGATGCTAGCTTTTGACACCACAGGAACTGGGCATGCAGCCTGCAGACACCAGGCCGTGGCACTCAGCTGCAAACAAAAGGGATGCTGTAGTAGCAGAGGGAGACAGTGTCCGTACGGAGCAGAGAAGACAAGTTGAGGCTACCAAGTTGGCATACGCTGAAGTCTGCTACTCTGTCACTTGAAATACATCTTCATTCTCAGCTAAACAAACTGAAATAATATCAGATGCTACTCAGGATCAAAGGGATCTCCCAAATAAAAGGCAATCAGAACACCAAAGAACAGATAACTCAAAGGAATTGCATTACACCACACATCCTGCATTTGGCTTTCAACATTTGCTGTCTCAGAGTTTAGGTTCAAGAAACTGTGTTTGCAGTTCTAATGGTGACTTGTCAGATCTATGACCAGTATAAACATTTGTCATTAGGGGTGTTAAAGAAAGTGCAATGAAATATCTCCCCTAGAGGCTTAAACTGACCAGACAAGGTGGCATCACCCCACACATACCACTGCTAAGATGTTTCTTAACGTATGGATGCATCATCGAGCTGTTTCATCTCCCTGTGAGATGTCAGAAATTACTGGGTTCAAAGATCAAAGATACATATGCCACATATTCTAAAGCTCTGATTCGGTATGATGACTCTAATCTTTGTCTGCTCCTGAAGAACAGGGAGTGCTCCACACCAAGACGAGTCTGGAGAGTTCCATGCACATGCCTTGACAAGGAGTGAAGATACAGATTCTTAGCACAGAACATCCTGCTTTTCCGAGTACCTCATTCATGTTCTCAATGAGGAAGAAACTTCAGCTATCCTAAGCTATGCATGAACTCATAAATAATTAGGGCAATTTATACCCATTTGAGTAAATAATTATGACATCTACATGCGGAACCTTTGGAAGAAGCTATCTGTGAGTTTATATTTAAAATTCAAAATTCTAAGTGTGATAAATATATTTCCATAAGATTATCATCAGGTACTTTTTCAGTTTCATCAGGTAGCCTCGAACCTGCTCTTCGCTTACAGCGGGTGAGACTTTGCTCCCCCAGCCTCCATCTGCAGGTTCAGGGAAAAAAAGACTTAGGAAGCCTGACTGGCAGTGAAGACTGAGGCAAAGAAGTTGCGGAGTGCCTCAGCCTTCTCCATGTCTGTCATTAACAGTTCACCCTTTTCATCCATCAGAGGGGGCATACTCTCCTTGGCTTTTCTTTTCTGATCCATGTACCTCTGGAATCCCTTACTGTTACCCTTAGTATTCCTTGCCAAGCTCAGTTCCATCCCTGCCTTGGCTTTCCTGATCCCATCCCTGCACATCTGGACCACATCCCTGTGCTCTTCCCAGGCCACACATCCCTGTTTCCACTGCCTGTGCATTTCCTTCTTGCACCTCAGTCTGAGCAGAAGGGCCTTGCTCAGCCAGCCTGGCTGCCTACCCTCCCTGCCCGCGTTTTTACGCAGAGGGATGGAGAGTCCTTGTGCTCTAAGGATGTTGTTTTCTTTTCCACCCTAGTCTAAATTTGGTTACATCATAACTAGCTGTCCTCATAAGCCTTACATTCTAATCAACTGTCATTACCTTTGCCTCAGGAACAAAAGAGAAAGGGAGACCATTAACCAGATGTACCTCTTGTCTGGCAGCTACTCCTACAGAACCTGCTGTAGCCAGTACAGTGAAGTCAAACACCCAGGAATGAGACACTTGCCAAAGTCACCCAGGCCACTTGATGGCTCTTGAAACAAACGTAATACATTCACTCCAATTAAAACATTCAACTGCTTCAAGGGGATTTTTCAACACATACACAGAGCTGTAGGCTCCCTACCAGGGTTACCTAACAGTAACTACAGTGACGAAGAGTTATTTCAGGATATGCCTGGAGATGCAGAATTTTGCTGGAGGGTTTTGTCACCCTAACTTGTCTCAGAGATTCAGGTGGAAATTCCTTCTGAAACAGCGAAGTCATTCAGCAAACAGCCAAGTATTTATGCTGTACTGTCATGGTTCTCCAAAGCTTCACAGCTCAGCAAGCTCTCACACGCTAGCTTCATCACCCACTTTGTTGTAGTAAGAGACAACTGAGGTGAATCTGGATGGGATGAAACTCTTGCAGCTTTGAAGACCATATAACTGCCAGGCCCACAGGGCTTTCAGAGGCAGGGATAATTCTGCAGTGACATTTTTTCTGTTACGTTCCCTTCACATGTCTTATAATATTCCCTCACTTCTGCACAAAATGAGGGCCTGATTCATCACGCCACTGACCAGGGCACAGCATTTCTGATGATGTTCTGACGATGCAAGTGCCAACATTGCTGTCTGAATGCTGTGCGTACTACACTAGCTGGGAACAAAGATGTCAGAGCGCCTGTGAAACATCATCTAAACATACCTGAACTACAGTGGCATTTTTTTCCGTACTACTAGAACTTAAGAGAAGTCCTTAAGCCTGGATGTAACTTAAAGCAAGCACACTGTCATTTTTAGTAAGACTGCTATATGTGCTAAAAGTTGGCCTGTGCTCAAATACTTGCTGAAGCATGGATTAAGTTCAGAAAGTAATAAAAAAGTAATAAGAAACTGTTGATAAGTCACTTCACCTAACATCTATGATATTGATTTTAAAAGTATGAATGGAAAATACTGTTGACAAGATGAGTTCTTCTCAAAGAAAACATGCCTCATCATCCTAAATTACTGACTCTGGGACACAAAG